CCTCTACAGGAACTATAAGGGAAATTTTCAAGTTTCCCAAACTGCCAGCTGGTCTTGGCACAAAGCAGTGAAAGCAGCCGTCTGACAAAGAATAACCCTGACTTGATCTGCCCCTGCACAAACTCCTGTTCAAAGACTTTTGGGTACGGTGTCTATTTGGGGGAAGGTAGTCTTGTGAAACCTCAAACCTGAAATCTTGACGTTCTGAGAAAAGAACAAGGCGCAAGTTTCCACTTCTCCGCTCTCGGACGCACAAGAACTCGTAGCTCTTGTATCCTGTTACGGGTTTAAGGCTTGGTTTAGAGCTTAGGGCATGGGATTCCGGGCTTAGGGTTTAGGGTCAACTGGTACCCTCACCACGTAGTAAGTAGGGCTTCAGGGTTTTAGGGTTTCAGGGTGCGGCGGTTTGGGGGTTTTGTGCTGGTGCTTCAGAGTCTAGGACCTTCTCAACGGAAGCAGTAAGTGCAGTTCCAAGTTAGCGTTAAAACGTAAGTATAGCTATAAATGACCTGAATTTAGGTGCTTACCACCCTACTTACAACAAACTTACAACTACCATGCATTCGAGGTTTACATTTTGGGGTTTTACCATGTCGTTACGAACCTGACAAGCTAACCTGCTTAACCGGACACCTTCTGCGAAGAAGCAGTCCAAGGAACAAAAAGACACATAATATCTATATGTATATATAATTTAATGTAAAACTATGAAGGAGAAAACATACAAGACATATCATATAAGAACGAGAAACCACCGAAATTCACGATGTCGGATCCCAAGTCGCAGGACTTCTAGTAAAAAGGCCGTGATTTGCTGCTCGAGACCCTGCGAACATGAAGCACCCACCAAAGCTGGAGCTCGTTAAAACAAACGCACTCATTCAAAGCAAGAAACTTGACCCCGGAATTTACCTTATTCTCGAAGGCTTATAAAGGTGGAAAGAGTTCATGCCGGCTTGCTTGGGCCTGAACGGTTTGCTGGACTGTCCGTTTTGCTGTCAGGTCTGCCCGTGCAAGCTGCAAACTGTACAGCGCGATTCCGTCACTGCTTTAGACACCATGCACTATACATCCCAAGCCCCAAGACCCATCTAAAGCTCCGCAGCCCGCATTTTCGCCGCAGGGCCCCATCCAGCTTTTAACGCTAAATGCTGAACCCCGAAACTTCTTAAAGGTTTAAGGGTCTAGGGCTTTTAAACTGAGCGGGGGCCCCCCATGAAACAATCCTTCGAAACCCATATATTGCAGCCTCAAACTGCTACTTGAATCAAATTGAGGCCCCGATATTCTTTCTGTGCAGGGCCCAGTGGCCCTCACCACGAGCTTGGCCCCGATATTGCTCACAGCTGTTGCTGCCTGAGCATAAGAGGCGCATATTGACAGCAGCAGGGTTGGGCTTCCGCGTGTTTACGAATTGAATTTGGCAAAGAAATGTACGGAATTGGAAGTTACGAAGAACTACAGTGTGGTTTCGGGAGTGCTGATGGATAAAATCCTGCATGCCTCAAGTACCCGAACCTCGGGGATTGTTTGGTTTATACCAGGCTGGTGCTTTCATCAACAGCAGCACTTGCGTCTTTAGTTCGGTGCAGGCTTGTTCGGGATGTTGAGGTTGGGCTTTCGGGGTCTGGAGTGCAAGCTGCAGATCGCATGCTTAAAGTCCAGGGCTCATGTCAAGGCTTGGAATTTAGGAGGGTTTAATGCCTGCATACTTAGACTACAGGTGTGGGAGGTCCTCAGTATACCACGGACATAGACGCTGAACCCTATAACAAAAGAAACAGTCCGGGACCCTGAGGAATAAAATTACTACTTCTTCAGACCCCTAGCCCAGTTCCCCGACACAAACCCGAGCCATCATAATTTTGGCTTTTCGGGTTTAAGGTTCCAGATGTCTAGCTTATGGATTAGCACGTGGTTTTAGGATTTTAGGCTTTACAATTGCGGGTTTAAGGCTGACGGCTTCACTTCGTTTCGGGCTCGGGATTGAGGGCTTGGTTTACGGCTTGGGGCTTGGAGTAATTCTGTGCGGTTATTCAGACACGGAATTGTCGATGTGATGCCATCGTATGGGGCCCTGGGTGATGCGATACAAGCCCCAATTTGTTGAAACCGGCACATCAAGCACGCAATCCGGAGCAAGCACGGTAGGAGTGGCGACACGCTAATCAACCATCAAGGGCAAGCGGCGGGATTGACTCGTGCGACGGCTTCCCTGCCCTGCGGTCCTTCCCGACCAAGCTGTCACGTCATTATTCCGAAATCGGGCAAAGGCTCCTTCACGCTGGCGGTGGCCCACGTCTCGATGAGCAGGTCCTCATCGGGGACCTGTGCGTCGCGATAGCGCCGCCCAAACTCCAACCTGCCCAAACCCGGTGTGGGACTTCACTCGGGCCCGCTGACGCAGCGTCGGCCGTGAGAGACACAAGCCTCCAAGCTCACACACGGTGGGATGCACGTGTCACCCGGAAACTGATGTGCCCCTGCAGCGAGAGCCGCCGTCAGGGGGAGCTCATCTTCCGCATCCAGAGGGCATGCAAGTCAGTGGTGTCATGCATGGTTCGCCTTGTCTTGCGTCTCGGTCCGGCTGGAAGAACAGCTTCAGAAGTTCGCTGCCGTTAGCGATGCACATGTTGGTCTCGATTCAACTACGGTGATTTGTTGAATCCCGCCTCGTGAAGTCCGTATGGCTTCACCTCCACCTGCATGAGACATGTGCGTAGAATAAGCGGTGACATCATGCTGCCGGCTCACTCCGATGCCGCGTGGCTCAACACGCTAGCAACGTCCGCCTTGTGGGAGGAGCTGTGTGTTGATGTTGACTCATGCTGCTGCTCTGTCACTCCTGGGCTCGCCGGGCCACCTCCCGCCGCTTCTGTGCCTGACGGACCGGAGCTTGTGCATTGAATCACAGAAAAGAAAAGCTAGCTAAGCCAGCCTCCGCTGGGTCCCAGTCTTCGCGGCTCCTCTTCATGGCCATCCGGACGGTGTTCTCCCACGCGGCTTCCTTGGGCCAGCTTGTAATAGACATCTCGATGGGTGCGTGTGCCACGTTGCCTTCTCTGCTGCAGTGGTCGGAACGCAGCCGCGAACGACGTCGTGCTTTTGCGCCACTCAAGCTATTCGGTGGTTAGGTCTACCGAGCAGCCTTCTGGAGGTCGCCGTGCAGTTGGGTTGCCGCAGTGTACGCACGTCACCGGGCGTCCTCCTATCACAGACACACCACGGATTCACTACTGATGCATGATTTGTGCTGGGCGGCCGACATGTAGCGTGCATACTCCGGGCTCAGACCCTGCAGACTTCCCTTCGTCCAGAACAACGATCAATGCGATTGTATGCAATTTTGCACCCGGCTCTTTTCTGCCTGCAGGAGGTATTAGTTGACGAAGAGAGACGGAGGCACGTCTTGTCCTCCCACGCTGTCTCCATCGTCACCTGGCCACTTGCTCAGCAGGCTATGCGGCTTCCGATGTCTCGCAAAATCATTGCCTCGCAGTGCTCTGGCTTCGGCACTGGCGGCGCGGAGGAGGGCTTCAGAGCGGTTTTGGGTGAAGCCTCGACCTGGTCGCAGATACTGTAGCGGGGCTGTGTGTGTGTGTGCCGGACCTTGGCAAGGGCCGGGGTGAAAACCGGCCAGTACTCCTCATTGCTCCAGAAATCGTTGCGAGAGGGTGCTTAGCACGGAGCCTGGCAGTCGTGAGGAGGATAGTAGCATGGCATGAGTGATGCACATCAACCAAATCTTACTTGTTCGATGGCCATCCTTTTTTCCAGGCGCCTGAAGCCCTAGGCTCCCGAAACCCGACACCTCCAAACCATGGTATTCGGCCCTAAACCCTAAACCCTTAGCAGCGCTTCTGAAACCCTGCACAAACCCTGGGAAGGCGCAAGAACGCCTCTAAACCGCCATAAGACCCTGTGCAACCCGATCCCGAGCCCTGGGATGCCCTAAAACCCTTATAAACCCCTCTAAATCGCCATACATACCCCAAAACCCTAAAACCCAAAGACCCCAAAACCCGAAAACCCCAAACCCAAAGCCCTAAACCCTAAACCCTAAACCCCTAACCCCTAAATCCTTCAAAAATAAGGCCCACGGCACAGGAAGGGACTTCGGGTTCTGGCTCTGGCACGGAGGTACAAGAGTCGCAGCCGGCACAGGAGTGCCAGTCCTCTGAGTGCTTTTCTTCTTTTCAGGGGTGGTCAGGCTCTCGGGTCTTGTGGCTGCTCATAGAGGGTATGAGGGTTCGGGTTTGAGGGTTTAGGGTGTTTGGTCAAAGCTCTCGGAAAGAAGCTTTGGGCCTGTTTTTAGCTCTAGAGTGTTCCTCTGGAGCTGTAGAATTCTAAGACTTCGGGGTTTGGAGCACGTTAACGGCTCTCAGGCTTTTCGCAGTTTGGGGTTGCGGATTGAAGGTGTCGGATTTTGGGGGGGCTCCCAAAAGTCCCCATTTCTATAGGATTCTACCCATACAACTGGTTCTTCCAAAAAAACCACAGTGGAGACGATAGGTCGGGCTTATTCACCATTTTGGTGGTTTAGGATGTAAGAACTCAGGTTTCGGATTTAGCGTTCAGGGTTCCGGACATGCTAAAACACTTCCTCGGGTCTAGACCGCTGGGAGGTGCGGGCTTGGGCTTCCGGGGTGTAAGGCCTGTGTGTGTAGGATCTTGGGTAGGATCTTGGGGGGGTGCAAGAGGTTGAGCTTTACTTCTGGTGTTGGAAATAAGGGGGTTAGGAGAATAAGTACAAGAGGTTAGGATTTGGCTTGGATGTAGTCGGAGTGGGGAATTGAAGCCCTCCAATTAAAGCCCAGTCGCACAGAGCCCCTGCCAAGTGTTGACAACATACGAGCACCAGAAGCGACATTTACCACCTCAGGATCTTGGCATCAATCAAAAAGCGATATCTCTGGGGATGGCGCGTAGAAGATATAGCTGAGATAGTGGTGCTGGACTGGCTGTATCCATGCCCGCCCCAAACAACAGTACTGAACTGCTCACAAGTAGCTTGGAGGTGCTTCAGTCGTTGCGGCACTGGGAATGGTCGCGGCGGTCGTCAACACTGTCGTTGACAGCGTTGTGATGCTAGTGTCCGTGGCCGTGGTCACCGTCGTGGTGGACAGAGTTGTAGCGGTCACCGTTCTCGTGGCAGTGGCTGTGGTCACCGTGGTCGTGGACAGCGTCGTACCGGTCTCTGTGGTGGTGGCAGTGGCCGTGGTCACCGTGCTGGTGGCAGTGGCCGTCGTCACAGTGGTCGTGGACAGCGTCGTACTGGTCTCTGTGGTGGTGGCAGTGGCCGTGGTCACTGTCGTGGTCGACAGCGTCGTACTAGTCACTGTGCTGGTCGCGGTGGCCGTGGTCACCGTTGTGGTGGACAGCGTCGTGCTGGTCACCGTGCTGGTGGCAGTGGCTGTGGTCACCGTGGTGGTGGACAGCGTCGTGCTGGTCTCTGTACTGGTGGCAGTTGCCGTGGTCACTGTGGTGGTTGACAGCGTCGTACTTGTCACTGTGCTAGTGGCAGTGGCCGTGGTCACTGTCGTGGTCGACAGCGTCGTACTGGTCACCGTGCTGGTGACAGTAGCCGTGGTCACTGTCGTGGTGGACAGCGTCGTACTGGTAACTGTGCTGGTTGCAGTGGCCGTGGTCACTGTCGTGGTCGACAGCGTCGTACTGGTCACCGTGCTGGTGGCAGTGCCTGTTGTCACCGTTGTGGTGGACAACGTCGTGCTGGTCAACGTGCTAGTGGCGGTGACCGTGGTCACGGTGGTGGTTGACAGCGTCGTACTTGTCATGGTGCTGGTGGCAGTTCCTGTTGTCACTGTCGTGGTCGACAGCGTCGTGCTGGTCAACGTGCTAGTGGCGGTGACCGTGGTCACGGTGGTGGTTGACAGCGTCGTGCTGGTCACCGTGCTGGTGGCAGTTCTTGTTGTCGACAGCGTCGTGGTGGTCACAGTGCTAGTGGCGGTGGCCGTGGTCGCCGTGGCAGTCGCAGTGGCGGTGGTTTCCGTCACTGTTGTCGGCATTTCCAGCAGTGGCGCAAAGTTCACATTGCTTGCGTCGCCTCCTTGGGCACTGCTGCCCCAAGCGCGCACTTCCTCTCCGCTCACTGCCACAAAGGCGAACTCGTTGGAGTAAACCTGGAAACCTGTGAAATCACCACTGCACTCTCCGCCGAACCCCGCGGAGCCCCAACACCGGGCGACGCCGGTGACCTTAGAAGGCAAAGCTGCGTACACAGAAGGATGATGTTGCGTTTCGTTCGAGATTCAGGGTTTACGGATGAGAGGTTATAGGGCTTGGGTGTTCTTGGCTGAGGGGTTGAGGGTTGTGGGTGTCGGGGTCTCGGGACTCTACCAGCATTGTCGATGCTTCCTTCCCTAGGGATCTGGATCGAAATCGGAACTGAAAAATGACACGTCGTGCATGGAAGCCCGTAGGACTGCATGCATGCGACCACTGTGGCCTACTGAGGACGAGATCTGTTTGAACGGCACCCTTGGATTCGAGGCTGATGATCGCCGGGAGTGTCGTAATCGGGCTTACCGGTATACCCGCTCATAACCGAAACTCCAACTGCTCCTAAACCCTAAACCCTAAACCCTAAACCCTAAACCCCAAACCCTAAACCCTAAACCCTAAACCCTAAACCCTAAACCTTGTACCTGGACACAGGTGGGGAAGCTCCTGGGGCACCGTTGCTACGCCAACTGCCAGCTGCTTGCCCCGTTTCCGCACATTTTAGGGTTTAGGGTTTAGGGTTTAGGGTTTAGGGTTCAGGGTTCAGGGTTTAGGGTTTAGTGTTTAGGGTTTAGTGATGAAGTTCACTGAGCAGCAGGATTCATAGCCATGAAGGCATAGCCGGTGGCATACACACTGGTGAAGCCCTCGAAGGAAATGCCTGAACAATCGCCTCGCAGTGACAAAGGCTCTGACAGATGATGCCACTGGCCACTGTCCGGCTGCGACGTTTCATCGCTGCTGGCACAAACCATCGGTTGACCCTATTCTACCCACAACACCGCTCTCCGTTCTCCAACTGGACCTCTTAAATCCCCAAACCCGAAAACACGGAAACCTTTCAAACCTGAAAACCCCAAAAGGCCCTTGCTACTCCGAGCCCCGAAGTGGGGCCGCCTCCGAAGGACGCGTGGCCCCAGCACCTCGCCAGGCCGTTTACTGCATCCAGGGCCACAAAGGCCGCACTGGTGTGGTAGATCTGGGAATTGCTGGTGAAGAAAACCTGAGGAGGGGCCTAAAATCAGATCCTTCATATAAGGGTTTAGGCTTTTAGGGTTTAGGGTTTAGGGTTTCGGGTTCAGGAGGGTTCCTGCAAGGGGTTCTAGAAGTGCTCGGAAGGGCGCTGCATGATAAGGCTTTCAGAGGACTTTTTTCTTAGGATGCTATGCAGGGGCCGTCGTCATTGGAATAGTGGACTTCATGAAGTGATAGATCCCCAAACCCTAAACTTTGCCCCAAACCCTAAACCTTAGTGGTTTGACTCGCTGGTGAAGAAGAACTAAGGCTTTACGATCTATAAGAGGTCCTTGTGGGTCTTGGTTTCTAGTAAGGGCACTTGTAAGCTTTTTGTGTGCCTCTAGGCCTCCACAAGTAGAATGGGGTTCAAGGTTTCGGGTCATATTGTATGTTAAGTACATAGGATCCAGAAGAGACACTGACTTCTATACCAGTCTGTGTTCCATCGCCCTTAAACGTCACGCCCACAAGCCTCGTCGTGGAATGCTACAAACCCCTAGACGTCAAAACCGAAGAATCCTCAAACCCTATTGGTATATGGGGTTTAGGGTTCAGGGGCCTGAATGGGTGGAGTAGGGATGTCCATCTGCACTATAGTATAGTTCTGTACAACTGTATAATTCTAACTGTACTCTACAGAGGAGCACCACTGGAGTAGACTTGAAACCTAAATCCCTTAGAAAACTCCCTTGCGAAATCTGTGTCGAACCCATTAACAACCCTGCAGAAGCCTGATAAATCCCTCTTGGACACTCCAACTGACCTTAATCCAGCATTTCTTACGAGCGGTACTGGTCTCGCTGGGTAACCCCATTAACCCACAACGCTTCATCTCGACAGACTATATGCCCTAAACCCACGAACCCGAACCCACATAACTCGCATAACCTGAACCCTCCAAACCTCCTAAACCCCTAGACACCAAGCCTCCACCTACAGACCCGGGACCCTAAAGCACCCCAATCCCCCAAGCCGAAACCCAAACCTACATACCCAAGGGGCCCTTAAGAAATAAGATCAATAAGCATTCCGACCCCGCACCCTAAGCCCTACCGGGACCCTAAAGTACCCAAATCCCCCCAAGCCCAAACCCTAACGAGGAGCCCTACAGAATAAGTTCAATAAGTATTCCCCCACCCCAAGCCCTAAACCCTAAAACCCTAACCTACATACCCAAGCAGCCCTTAAGAATAAGATCAACAAGCATTCCGACCCCCACCCTAAACCCTAAGCCCTAAACCCTAAACCCTAAACCTAAGCCCTATATAAACCCACCCCCTTCCTTTGCGTCTTCGGGGCATTGCTGCAGTCGCCTCCATTGTCCGGATTACCCCAGCATTGGCCGCTGCCACTTCTCAAGGCCAAGAAGGCGGAGTCCGTGGAGTAGATCTGCACCTTTCAGCCCCAAAGTTTAGGGTTTAGGGTTTAGGGTTTAGGGTTTAGGGTTTTAGAGCCTAAGCCCTAAACCCTAAACCCTAACGATTTAGGGCTCTAGGGCTTGGGCTTTGGAGTTTAAGGTTTTAGGGTTTGATAGGCATGCAGAAGCCACTTTGACTTCAGGGCTTGGGGTTTGGAGTTTAGGGCTCAAGAAAGCCTTATGGAGCTGTATAGGAGCTTTATTGAGGGTCTTTGTAGGGGCTGCACCACTGTACAAGCTGTACTGCGGCTTTCATTCATGAAGGTCTATAGAGCTTCCATGAAAGTGTTATCGGAGGTCTTAAAAGAGGTATACGGATTCGTGTAGGTCTGCATTATGGGTTTAGGGTTGAGAAGGGTTCGAGGTTCAGGTTCGCAAGGGGTTTCAGCTTGAGGAGTTCGGTCTTCAGGAGTTTATTCTTTTTCGTTTGGGGCTCCTAGTCCGGGCTTCCTACGGCTGTGCAATGCTGTAAAGGTTTCGAGCTTGGTCATGCAGTGCGCGCTGCGTGCTGCAAACGAGTGCTTCTGCACCGTCTTAAAAACTGAGTCGGGCAACAAGAGGCTCTGGGACTTGAGATTTCTTTTTGGTCCCGACGAAGAGAAGCAGAGCCTGTGCACGACAAGATTGGCTGCCGAGCTCTGCTCGTAGATGGCATTTACATTACTTCCTCCCACCCAGCACCCTGTCACGCGGCGAAACCTCAACCACCGCAGCTTAAAGTCTTCCAGAAAGCAGCTTCCATAAGGCCCTCGCCCTACCTGAAGGCCCAAAACCCCAAAACCATAGAAGCTCTCACAGAAACCCTTACCCCTAAACCCTAAACCCCAAACCTCAAAGCATCCCTTTAAGAAGGGCAAGTTGGGCTCTCTCTCCCGCCCCACATCGCGAGCCTCTCCCTGGAAGTCGATGCTGCTGCAGTCGCCACCGGCTTGGCTGTTACCCCAACACCTGGGAGACTACATGCGGATATTAGGGTTTAGGGTTTCGGGTTTAGGGTTGAGGGTTTAGGGTTTAAGTGTAACATGGGGTTTCCTCTTCGGGGTTTATGATTTTTATGGAACAATAGCATAGCTGACATCTGTAAACCAAGATTTTCTAAAGCCTCTTCAGAGTTGCCAAGCTTGTGACAGACAGCAGAAGGCAATCGGTCTTTCGCTGTTTTGTGTGTGCCTGTCCCGTTGGTAGCCAGTGACAACGGCAATTGGAACGCGAATTCTCTGACCTTATACTCTAAATCTTATGTAGGGTCCTCAACAAAAACCTATATCATGTTGGGGGCTACTCCTTCTTGTCATACTATAAAGGACCCCCAAACCCAATTGACATTATCGAGGCCCCTGTATTACACCCCTAAAACCTCAGAATCCTGAGCTCAAACCTTCACAAACCGCGAACCTGGTCTTCCCCCAAACGTCTCCGCTCCCTCAGCTCCCTAACCGCCATCAACCACGGTGACAAGGAGCCAACCCTAAAACTAAAATCTGAATCCCAAACCCGAAGCCAAAAATGGATCCAGGGTTTAGGGGTTTAGGATTTAGGCACCCCCCCCCTCTTAAACCCTAAACTCAAGCGCAGACAACAAGTCTTCACTCTAGAATCGAAACCTCTTCGGACTTCACTTCTCGTGTGAAACTCTCAAACCTCGCCTCCGAGACTCCATAACCCAATGCAGTATCTCTCGTGTACTCTATACCCTAAACCCTAAACTCTAAATCCTAAACCCTAAAACTCTAAATCCTAAACCCTAAACCCTACATCCTAAACCTAAACTCTAAACCCCAAACCCTAAAACTCTAAACGTTAAATCCTACACCCGAAACCTTAAACCCTAAACTCCAAACTCTGAACCCCAAACCCTAACCTCTGCACCTGCAAGGGTCCCTTCTAGAAGCTCCCGAGTTTAGGGTTGCGAGTTCCGGGCTTCGGGTTCTCGGGTACCGGGCTTTCCCTCGTAGGGTTCTGTATGATTAGGGGTTAGGGTATAGGGTTTAGGGTTTAGGGTTTAGGGTTTAGGATCGGGGTTTAGGGTTCAAGGGCCCTAAACCCGAAACCCTTAGGGTTTTAGGGTTTNNGGTTTAGGGTTTAGGGTTAACCCTATTCTAGCTCTTAAAGCCCCTATACTGCGGTGAAACCCGCAACAGCCCTCATTGTAGAAACCCTTCTAGAACCCCTATCGACACCCGCCTCAGGGTTCAAGGAAAGGCAAGTGACTCCCCCCGGCCGCTGTTGCGGTTGAGCGCCACAAAGGCCTGGCCGTTGGTGTACACGTCTGTGATGCCCGTCAAGCTGACCGAACTGCAATCACCTGCGGCCGGCGCGAAAGTGTGGTCGACAGAACCGGTAAATTCCGCCCCACGCTTTTCATGATAGAAATCTATGTAATTATAAAGGCGGGTGTTTATCACGTACACACAACAAGGTTCAACATGAGGCGTATATACACGCAGCAACACCTCTCATGTAGAGCCCACCGTGCCTTTGTAAGCATACCTAGCCGAGGGCTTCAGGACTTGGATCCAAAGCCCGAGCCTGAACCCTCATACGCTTTTTGAAAGGCCAGGGACCTTCTTAAGAATCAGGGGGCTAAGAAGTCTTATCACAAGAGTGAATTCAAAACATAGGAGTGCTGAACAGCTCAGATCCCAGTTTTGGTACTCTAAACCCTTAATAAGCAACACTATGTCTAGGAAAGCCCATGTAAACTCCACCACACTACCAAACCCTGGTACAACCCTGCAAAAATGCTTCTAGGAACCCTTCAAACCCTTGCAGCACGGCTACATGAACCCCTAGCCCGGGCTGTGGAACAAAGCCATAGAAACCGAAGCCCCAAAATGAAATAGGGGCCTTAATGATTAGAATGGGGTTCTGGGGGTTCCTTATTATAAGTATAGTATAATGGGCCCCAAAACCCTATTCTAATTGTTAAAGCCCCTTTTTTAGGGGTGTTCATAACAAGGGGTGTCCACTGCTTTGCAAGGGATTCAGAGGATTTTGTTTTCGAAGGAGATCTGCACGGACTTCATAAGCTTCTTCAATCGGGGAATAGGGATCCGTTCTGTGAGGGATCTATGCAGGTGTCTATGATAAGGACTTGAAGGGGTTCAGTCTCAACATAGGTAGCGCCTGGATTATCAGAATAAGGATTTGGTGGTAGCGGCTACAAGGGCTAGTACTCACTATTCCGACCTCCACATTCAGGTTTCTGCGCCCGAAAGCTCCGTCATCCAAGCAACGCAAAACCCTCGGAGCCCGAAGCCCTCCCGAGCCCCTATAAACCCTAAATCCTAAACCCGAAACCCTAAATGATAAACCCGAAACCCTAAACCCAAAATCCTACACCCCTGAACCCTGAACCCTAAACCCGAAACCCTAAACCCTAAATCCTACACCCCTGAACCCTAAACCCGAAATCCTAAACCCTCAATCCTACACCCCTGAACCCTAAACTGGAAACCCTAAACCCTCAATCCTGAACCCCTGAACCCTAAACCCGAAACCCTAAACCCTCTGGAGCCTCCGTAGAGGCCGAAGCCCCAGCACTGAATGGTGCCGGCAGCCTTGTTCAAGGGTTTAGGGTTTAGGGTTTAGGGTTTAGGGTTTAGGGTTTAGGGAATGGTGCCGGCAGCCTTGTTCAAGGCTACGAAGGCGTAGTCTCCTGCCACCACCTGGAGGCGGTTATAAACGTCCTTTCAGGAGCCTTTTCGGGTTCCTTTTTAAGGGGTACTAGAAGGGCTCTATAACCGGCTCCCCTTTAAGGGCTCCTTCAAGGGTTCCTTCAAGGTTCTAAATTAGGCTTCTATATCAAGGATTTGGGATTTAGCATCTAGGTTTAGATGTGCCTGAGATTTCGGATTCCGTGGGTGCTCGCCCAGGTATGGCTTGAGGTTCTCTTCTCCGTTTTAGGGTTCGGGTGGCTTTTCGGTGTTCATGTAGACCCCGTAGTCAGGATCCCGATTGTTAGCAGTTTGGGGTACGCTCCACTGTACTTACATTCAGGAACCCTCAGGCACAGTATCAAACACTACCAGGCCCCTGCAATCTTGATCGGAGGTCTACCTTATGATGGGCTGGAGCCCGAAACGGATCTGAACATGATATAGGGTCCTTAATAGTTAGAATAGAGTTTTGGGGTATACTATACTATGCCAGTTAGAAGAAGGAACCCCAAAATAGAATAGTTAAGTACTATGGCCCCTCTACCCTAAACCCTAAACCCTAGACCCTAAACCTAATTATTATGGCCCTTCTACTACTATACTGAACTTAGACCCCTGGCAAAAATTATAATTTTAGCTGCTTCTTAGGGTTTATAGTAGCCAAAGATTAAAAATTATTTCTAAGTACCCCTAAGACTAGAGCAGTTGAAGAACAGGGCTTTGGGGTTCTCCCGGCTTCTGGCTCTGGGGC